TGCAAATAGCAGAACCACGAAACACGAATGAGGTTTACTTTTGGGAGGGAACAATGGATGGAAACCGCAATAGCAAATACCGCAAAAAACCAAAACCAAAACCCAAAGAACAAACAGACATCCATCCATCCACATGCATACATTAAACAGAAAACATTAAACACAGCGAACGAACAGAACATGAAAAAATTGTATTATAAAAGGAATTTTTGTGAAATTCCGAAAGACAAACAAACGTTAAAAAAGACAAGATACAACACACACAACACAACACACACAATACGGTGTTTGTCTTAATTGTTAATTGCTCTGAGTCGGGTCCCTCTTCCGATCTTCCCAATCCCAATCCCAGTTCGAGTTCCAGTTCCAGTCATGCGCCAAAGTCTAGGAAAAACCGCACCTACTCCCATACCAAATATAAATATAGAAAGGAGACGGACGGCACGGCACGGCACACTGCACACTCATCACATCTCCATCTCCCGTAGCACTCCTCATAGTCGTCGTAATTCTGTATCAGCGCGCGCGTGTCGTCTGGTGTCTTGTGCTGGGAGTACCTGTTGTATCTGTCCACGGACCTACCTGTCCATACACTTACTGCCAATGTAATGTGTGTTTGACAGGATATACCCACGACCCCTGGCCCTGGCCCTGGCCATGGCCCTAGGCCTGGCTCCGACACGATCCCAGACAATCCCTGCAGTCATGGACTTGCATTGTTCTGCTTATATGGAACTTTAATTGCCCAACAACCGAACGAACCTCTCTGTCCACCCTTGTGGCCACTCGCTCACTTTCACTCTCCGTCCCTATAAAAATTAATGAGTTTAGGACAGACTGTGCTCCTGATTTTGGTTCTTCCATTCATAAATTTGGTTTCTAGTTTGGGAAATTCCCATCTAGTGATTCATTTGGCCAGCAGTTTCATTTTCATGAATGGGCAGAGTGGCAGTGCTCTGCTTTTTTTTCATCTATTTTGGATTGGTTTTTAATGTGGGAATTCCATTTGTCTGATTGAGTCGCACAACCGATCCATACGATCCATACGATCCGTATGTACGCACGGGTAGTAGTAGGAGAGTATGGAAATTGGAATGCAGAAGAAGTTTCTACACCTAAAAACGGTGTAACTTTTCAGATATATATTCTCAATTGATGTGTAGGTTATATGTAGAGCTTTGGTATATACTGGGTGGGTTCAAGATGTTTATAGCGCTTCAAGCTCAAACCACACTATGGAAACCTACATATGAAAGTTCTCCAATACAAATTCCTCCCACAAGGCCCTTAGTGTTACTCTTGGGAACTTACCAAATGGACCAACCGGCGCCTCACATCGTACATAGTACTCTACCCATGGCAATGGGGAATACTTTTGGTTCCAGCCGCTAGAGATGCGATCCGAGGGATAAAGAGATTGGTTGCTCCTCTGTGGTTAGAGTCCAGAAATTCGTGTGTTGATCCGCGTCATTATGAGGGGCGTTTGACACACATGTGGCTGGCTAACATCGATCGAATGATGACCGAACGAACCTTCAGAGCAGGCATCTGGTAAAATCACACACACACACACACACACTAACACGCGCGTTAAGCAACCGTTAAATTTCGATGATTGCCAGGGAATCGCCCCTGAAATCTGGAATCTGGATATTTAATGTGTGTGTGTGTGTGTGTGTGTGTGTGGTGTGGTGGGGGGGGGGGTTGACACAACCAAATGAAAGTGTCACACAGATCACAACTCTTTCGTCGAGGAGGAATAGGAGGAGAGGAGGAGGTGTATCCTGAGGTAGGAGTGGGCGTGGTGGCTGGCTGGCTCGGGACAACGGGGGATTCCCTGCCAGGCGGCGCCTCCCCGTATCCGAACCCGGCTTTTGTGTTGGTTAAACTCCCCGTCACGTTTGTGGTTAAACATATTTAAAGGATTTTCCATGCGCCGGCGCAACTTTCCTCACAATTTTTCACACTAAATGAGTTTTTTTTGCGTTTTTCGTTTTAGCCACCAGATACCGAAGACAGACATCGAATGTGATTATCAGGCGGCACAGCAGCCCACGGGAACAGCACAATCTCCGAGAGATGCCAATCCCAATCCCCGACTGGGTCTGGTCTGACTGGACCCGCATCCGATCCGATCCGCGCTCCGTCCTCCGTACTACTACAACTTTTCAAATGCTACTCGCGTGAGAGTAGCCAGCCGCCCAAAGCAGCAAAATACGAGTAAAAATACTCTTGATTAAAACTTATCAGACCACAATTTCATATCACCTTTTCAACAACAACAGAAACAACAGAAACAGCAACGGCAACGGCAGCAACAGAGCGTCAAAGTAACGATTATACTTATTATCGGCAGCCTGTCTCTCCATCCATCCGTCCGTCCGTCCGTACATACTCATTGCGCGCCGTGTACTCTCTGGCCTGGGCTCTGTAGTTTGCCCCTCCATCTGGCGGTTCCGTCCGCTGATTGGGAAGCCCGTTCCAAGATATGGCTATCTCAGAGCCAGGCACCGTCACAGCCCCACTGACGCCACCACCACACCACTCCACACCACATAATGTCAAAGCCGCAGTCTAGAGTCTAGAGAGAGCGCCCAGGGAGCGATACCAAAAATCCGATTTGATTAAAAGTTGCATCACGCGACAGTCGCGCGACTATCCTTATCGGGGGAGACGAGACAGACACCACTCCGATTCCGGCCACTACGGACACTGTCTGTGTGGTGTCCTTATCAACAGTCCAGCAATAGTACGCGTATGTGTGTTTCGACAACGATTAAAACCAAAGCGACCTGATTAAAACTAACATCAGTGGTCCAATCTAACACTCAGCTCAAAAGTTGATCAGTCATTGAAAAAATGGCAAAAAAAAAGAAGGATTTGCATGTCCAATTTGAAGCCTAAACTTCTAGAGACCTTCCATCTATCAGTGTGTTGTGCTCGTCTATAAAGGAATTCCATAAATTGAATTCAATGCCAATTTAACTGTGAAACACGCTCCACACTCTCTTCGGACAATCGCTCTGGAAATATTCTAAACAAAATATACTTAAAGCTACAAAAATAAACAATATTTCTAATATATACTTATGTATGTTACTCCCCCTAATTAAAAATAAATAAGAATTTCGCACACATTCCGCTGCCTAGAAACGCCGCTGCATATTATACTACAAAAGTATTCTCTATAGATAATGCAAAAGCCTGCACTCCCCCTTCTGTTTTGGCTGATAACTAAGCCAGGCAGCCAGACGACCTTGCCTATCTACATTTTCCCTGACTCACTCTCCGACTTACTCCCTCTTTGCCCCTTCGGGGTTTTTAGCGATAAAGTTCTCCAGAAACAGAACCATATCAAGCAAAACTCCAGGTCAATGCCACAGTGTCTGGACTGTTCAAAACCTAAAAAAAACGATAAAAAAAACAAAAAAATACAAAACAAAAGTGTCAAGAAATTCCAATCAAACACTGTAAATGCCGGTTCTTGTGACGTCATGCGGATTTGATAAGAGCAGAAAAAAACAAAAGAAAATAATAGAACAAACAGAGAGGAGAAACATATTGCAAACATTGATAAAAACAAAAAAAGAATACTTAGGGGGTGGGGAGCGGGAACAATGCACGATGCGATAAGGAGGTAAATGTAAACAACCTGAAAACAGAGTGAAAAAACTTTAAGCAGGCGCCAGAGAACAGATCAAGAGAAAGAGAGAGCGAGAGGGAAATATGTATGTGGGTAGTAGAAATAGAAACCCGATAAAGATACATACATATATGTACGTATGAGGCCCTGCGGGTGACGACGAGTGCGGGTGGGTTGTCGGTCGGTCGGTCGCCTATCAGCGCAGAAGCAACGGCAGAAGTGGCAGCAGTAGCTCTGCTCTGGGCAAAAGTCTCCGGAAGATGCATTGTGTTCCAAAAGATAAGCCCCAGAGTTGGGACCTTATCAGCCTCAGCCCTTGGCTTCGCTTCGCTGTGGTTCGGCTTTGGTTTTATTTTTTCTTTGGTGGCATTTAAATACAACATATTAATGGCCATTTAAAAGGAATAATATAAAAGAAAGGACGGAATCACATAAAGAAGGGGTAAAGCAAGATAAGGCTCTATCCTGCCTATGCATTCTAAGAAAATTGAAATGCAGGCTCAATTGTGGATCGTACACATAAATAATCTACGCCATGGATGGATGCTATACTATATATATTGACTATACGGATCCCATAATCCATAGCCACATCATCGTGACGGAGCACAGAGATAAGCGGAGAGGCGAACAAAAATTGAAAATATTATGTGTCTGTGGTGTGGCAAGAGGTCAAACTATAAGTCAGTATTTACTAGCCACAGAGTAGGGGAGGAGGAGGCTGCAGAGAGCCATTCTAATGGGGTAGCAGGTCACCACTGATAGCCCCATCTACCAGTCAAGGTACTAGGTTCACATGATGGACAGCAAACAACCCAATATTATGCTCATTATTGTATAAGTTGAAAACAACATCGATTTCCAAGGCATTTTCCACGACAATCAGATAGCATCAGATATGTGGGGATCACTTAGACAATGCCATCGAAGGTACACACTCGATAAGAGCGAAATTATTAAGAGAATGAAACGAGGCATAAATATTTACTGGGAAAACTACTATTCACTCAAATAATAAATCTGTTCGGCAAACATTTGTCTATGAGCTCTGTCAGAGGGGGCAAGACAGTACTGATAAGGTTGACGGCACCTACAAATAGTTAACACTGGACGTTTTAAGCAACAAATAATTTTATACGTTAAATTAATAAATTATCTATAAAATTGGCTAGTTTTTAAAAGAGTAGTTTCATGGGTTTATTTTAAAAAACTATTAAAACATAATACGTATTACAAATTATTCTGCTTCATGAAATCTACACAATAGTCGCGCCATCTGTTGGTGGTTACAGGAACTCACATGCATGCGTTTCGTAGCAGCCAGAATCCAACTGATATTGCACTTATTTATCGGCTATCGCTCATCGCTGATACATCCCACGCCACGACCTTCTGACCAACAAACATTTGAATTAAAAGATAGATAAGAGAGATAAGCGCCCTTACAAATTACCGGCTAAGAATTAGTTGTACATTCTATATTGGTAGTACAGCAGACATCGAACCATGTCGAAAAACGATGAATTCACATTTCGGCGTGCCAAAGTGGAGGACATCAAAGATGTCTTAGGAATGATCCAGGTGGGGAGTCAATAGGATTTACTTGATAATCTAATTTTAACCTCTCTTTCATTGTTCTTTAGGAACTGGCGGACTTTGAAAAGATGAGCAATGGCCCACAGCTGACGGAGGAGGGTAAGGAATTATCAGAATATCATTTTCAAACAAAGATACCTCCCATTAAAAGTAATTTCTTTGCACAGTTCTCATACGTGATGCAGGACTCTCGGGTGGAGAGGAATGCTGTGAAGTCTATGTGCTCATGGACAATGCCACCAAGTGCGTAAAGTAAACCCAAGCCAACGATAAGAACTCAAAATTAGGCAAAAGCAAATGTTTGCCAGGCCAAACACGAAATCTATTTGACGCTGGCAAACATTTCGCTTCAACATTTGATAAGGCTAACACGACAATTTCCGTTTATTTGCTTTCCCAGCCTGGCCATTGGCTATTCGATTTGCTACAAGGCCTATTCCACCTGGCAGGGACGCTATTTCTTTGTGGAGGACATCTACGTGAAGCCGGAGCATCGCAAGCGGGGCGCTGGCAGGCGCATCTTCCTCGAGGTGTCTGCCCGTGCCGTGGAGTTGAGGTGCCCGCGCCTGGAGTTCAATGTGCTCGAATGGAATCCCGCTCGCAAGTTCTACGAGAGCTTGGGCGCCGTAGATTTGACTGCTCGAGAGGGCTGGCACTACTACCGCGTGGAGGAGCAGCAGCTGTCCAAGCTGGCCAGCGATTTGTCCTGCTCCAAGTCTTGATTTTATGTTGTTTTTGGTTTTGTTTTTTACTTTTATAATATAAATAATACTTCAGACCCCACCCCGGGCCAGAGATGCTATTCAATTGACTTTCGGGCTGGGCTGGGCTGCTCACTGATTCTCCGCCACACTGGCTATCACATGGATCTGCATGCTCTTCGTGGAGTTGTACACCTGTCCGGGCGGAAAGGGATGCACCTTGGAGTGGGCATCGGCTTTGGTTTTGCCACCAGCCGTGTATTTGGACAGACGAATGCTGGGCATGGGCAGGAAGCCAGTGCTCAAGGGCATCACATCCAGGGATATGGAATGGCTGTCCACGTCTTTCATGGAGACGACACCTAAAAGGATGGAGCGAGGATTAGCCAGGAAAGTCACAAGAAATCGAAAAAGTAAGCATAATTTAGTGGTGGATGGTTAATTGGAAAGCTTAGGAGTTGCTAAAGAGATTGCTACATGGCATTGGATCTACCCCAGATCTGGGAGTTAGTTTCGCTAGGGATATTTTTTATGTGAGTGTGCGTGTGTGTGTGGCCAAGAACCAACAACAACTTACCCATATCTTAAAGTGTGAAAACGTGTGTAGAGAAATCAGAATTAAAATCATAAAATAAACGACCAAAAGCAAACACCACAACCGCAACCGTACACTCACCCGCAGAGCGACCGCAAACGGCCCAGAGATTCTGATCGTTGAGCACTTCGTACATGAGATCCGTGTACGGGTTCTCGTGCACTTTGCTGATCTTCAGATTCATGTTGCACACCGTCCGCAGGCGACACAGTTCGTTGGGCTCCAGCTGGGCCTGCAGCTTGAAGAGCGTCGTGTAGTCCACCAGATCGAAGGCACAGCCGTAGCTACGCCACACCTCGGGCTGCGTGAGCGTCGCGTACTTGATCACAAAGTGCACCTTGACGATGGGCAGCTCGTGCTCGGTCTTCAGGGGTTCCACTTGGATCTCGTACAGATACGTGACAGTCAGGGATTTGTAGATTTCCTGCATGAAAGAAACACGTGATTAGCAAACAAAAACAAATGCTTTTGATTGCTGGCTTACAATCGGCTGTTGGGGCATGGGATTCAGGTCGAGCAGCTGGACGCCAGGCACATCGCACTTGACCTTGGCATGGTGCAGCAGCAGATGCGCATCGAGTCCCTTCATTATGACCTGCAGGAACTTCTGGGTGCCGCACGTGTGCAGCCGACACGTGGCCTCCATGGCGGGCTGGAACTCGATGGGTATCTGCAGCTCGGTGCGCGACCAGGGACAGCTCAAGGAAATGTGATGCTCGTGATGCTTGGACACCTTCCTGCCCGGCATATCCGTGAGCACCTCCAGCGGAATGCTACGCTCCTCGAACGACTTGAATTGGAGCAGAGGCACCTGCAGCAGACTCTCGAATGTGGCATCATCACGAGGGGGAGGAGCATCCTGTGTGTCCAGTGCCTGTCGCAGGCGCAGATTCTTAGAGCAACGCAGCGTAATCTTGGCATCGGGTGGAAAGATGAAACTGCCGCCGGACACATTCAGGCTGATGGGCTGCACAATGCCCGCAACGAGGGTCTTGAACTCCAGCGAAGCACTGGCCGGCTTGGTGCTGATCTCAAAGCAGGGCGCCGCAAACGGCAGCTGCTCCGAGAGGAACTCCAGGCTGGACATGCTCACACAGAGCTACAAGAATAGATTAATAGATTAATAAGAGTTCTTCAGGGCATAAATCGCGGGAAACGAGACCTGTTTGAATTGCCAGTTGCCCACACGCGTTGCCTTGGCTTTCAGTTCAATGCAATTGACGCCCGGCTGTAGTGCTATATTCTCCGCCTGCACAAAGTTGGTAAAGTCACCCTGGACGCTGGGAGAGAGCTTTCGCTTGGTGCTGCTGGTGCGTCGCACGGGCTGCTTGCTCTTAGGCATATCACAGGCCACCGAAGCAGAGTGCAGCCGATTGTCCTGCTTGTAGACCAGCTGCAGTTCCACCTTCAGGCGCGATACAGACTCTTTCACCTTCGTAGTAGAAGGAGCTGACGTCAGGGAGACATTTTCCATGGCAAATTCCAGGGTCGTGGCCTGCAGCTCGTAGCACAGTTTGAGTGTCTCCGCTACAATGCCCCGGGGATAAAGGCTCTCCACTTTGAGCTGCACCAAGACATGATCATCCTGTATAATGGGCTTCTGGTTGAGCACTTCAATGTCCAGGATGCGGAAGTGATCCTCTAGCACACAGAAATTGGCATTCTCCGACGATGGCTGGGCGGAGAGTGTGGTCTTGAGGGTCTTCAAGGACTTGAGAAACTCATCAAAGTAGAATGTGCGCACCAGAGTCTCCAGTTCCACGCAGCAGGAGATGGAGCTGCAGGTCTTCGTGTAGGCCAGAGAATCGCCCATCTTGCGATAGCAGTTGGCCAGCTCCAGCAGCGTCTGGGAGCTCAGCATGTGCCAGTTCTCAGCCTTAAGCTCCCGCAGCAGATCCGTAAAGAATCCCACCGCCTTGTGCGGCTCGTTGAGGGCACAGTAGAAGTTGCCCAGATCCAGGCCCACCAGTCGGGCCGAGCGCAGGCGTGCCACATGCTTGTACGTGCTGATTGCCAGCTCCGCCAGCTCCAGGTAGAGTTTCTGGAATGCCTGATTCGAGCCCAAGGCTTCCTTCAGCTGTTGGGCCGCCGACTTCTTGGGCTTGCGATTGGGCGAGCGATCCCTGAGGTGTGGCGTGGCCTGCAGGAACTGCTGCTGCTGATCTGGCGGCGCATCGCCAATGCCCGACGACAGCTGCACGACGATGTGCAGCTGCTCGGAGGTGGGTGTGCAGCCAGGCAGCAGACCGCACAGTTTCCCCAGCTCATAGAGCTTGTCCTTGGCCAGGTTCCAGATGGGCGCACAGTGCTGGAAGCAGGTGACTTCGTTCGGTTCCATGGCCTGCTCGCACAGCTGCAGCACCTCCAAGGCGCAGACGAATTCCCAGCAGCACAGGGCGCCCTCCTGGCACTCCAGTTTGATGAATTCCACCTCGCGGAGCGTGGAAAACAGAAAGTTGAGCAATCGTTTGGCTATCTCGGGTATTTCATTGCTGGTTAGCAGCAGATACGCCTGCCGTTCGAACAGATAGTTGCGGAACTCCAGGAGAGAGACGCCCTCCTCGCGGATCTTCTCGCGCATTTCGAACTTATCCAAACGCGTCAGACAGATGCCATGGAAGGCGCTCAGCGGACGCTTGAAGTGGCTGAGCCACTGCTGCTTCTCGTTGAAGCCCGTGTGGGTGATAAACTGCGAGAACATGGCGTCCAGTTCGTCGTACTGGATCAGCGCCTCCGTGGGGAGCTCCAGCTTTTCAAATGTCAGCGCCAGATCCTCCTGCATGAAGAAGTACTGCCGGTAATCCCAGCCATCGTGGTTGCGCTTCTCCCGCTTGGCGCGTATCAGTTCCTCGTATTTGACAATGTTCCGATTGTAGCTCGTGAGCATGAGGAAGCGTATGCGCTGCACCAGGCAGCGAAAGGATTCCGTGGACTTTTGCTCGAACTTGGCCGGATTCAGCACAGAGATGCAGCGATCATCGTTTTTGCTGCCGAAATCAAGACGTATCTTGTCCAGAACTGTGGTGCGTGGCATAAAGTTCTTGGTCTTGCGCATGTCCAGCGTCTCCACCAGCAGAATCATCCAGTCCGAGATGCCATAGCTGGTCAGAACCTTCAGCCAGGCATCAATCTCCTCCCTAATGGTGGCCTTGTATGTGTCAACGTCCTGGAAATTGTTTTAAAAGTTAAGTTTTTACTCATATAAAGGGCGTTGCCTTACATTGCATTCTGTGACAAAAATGTGCAGAATGGGATGCTCCAAAATGCTCCAATCGCCCTGCTTGTACTTCTCCAGTGGCGCCACATTAAACTGCTGGGTCTGGGCCTCCAGGCGAACATGTTTTGTCGGCCGTTGAAAGGTCCGACGCCACTCGCATGTGTCCAAAGGAATGGCATTCAGGATTTGCGATTCCAGCGAGCGGAAGAGCGGGCAGGAGCCGGAATCTACCAGAAATCAACGTACATTGGGAGGACCAAGTAATTTTGTGTGCCACTCACATGTAATAATGGGTTTTATCTGCATTATTATGCTAATTTTTGTTGTTTATTGCATTTGGAGAAAGAAAGTACAGACATTTGGCCCAGCTGACATCGATTATTAATGGTGCTATGACATTAGACTCTGCTAAATTGTCTGCTATTGTCATGAGAGACAAAATGCAAAATTATTGTTCGTAGCCGTCTCTAGGTGGCACTACATAATTGTATATTTTTATTTTATCCCAGTTCAACTGGACAGCCAGCTGGACACATATACATCTCTCGCTCTGACTGCAGGCATCTCCCATTCTATTTTTCCAGCTAGTCAGTTAGCAAAGTCTAGTGTCATAACAGCTTAACAGCTGTTTTGTTATCGATTATCGAGACGACGGTATGTTTTCATACCTGCCTTTCACAAAGTGAAAATTTTTGTAAGCTTTTGGAAAAGAAAGCCAGTGGAACCATCTTATATTGAATGCGCAAAATATTATAATCCAGAGACAGGCTACGAGTTGAGCAGCAGAATGGATATGGCCAGGAGCATATTCGGCAGGGATCACGAGGGTTACGTGGGCCGTGCAGAACATACGGTACGTACGACGGTAGCGAAGCTCTTTAATTAACCAGAAAGATTGCTTATCAAGCTAATGGAAATTTTATCGTTTCCACGCTTGCAACGCCAACACAGCGCAAACTGCAGAACTTGGGCTCCGAAGACGATCTGGGCGAGCTGCCGCCAATGATGGAAGAACTGAGCGTAGCCGATGGCGTGCGACCGAACCCTGGGGGTCCATTCTCCGCTCTCACGGCGTCCATGTGGCCGCAGGAGATCCTCGCCAAGCTGGGCGGTGAGGCTGAGCTGGGCCATCTGGGGGGCCCAACGACCAGCCGGAGTATCGTTTCGATGAGTTTGGGTTTCGCGTGGAGGAGGAAGACGGACCAGAGCAGAGCTCAAATAAACTGCTTGGCATTCCGTTTGTGGAGGATGCCCAGCAGCGACTGCAGTGGATAGCCCATCTGGAGTTCTCGCACAACAAGGAGGCCACAGAGCTCACCTGGGAGCATGTGGATGTGATGCTGCCGCGCACGGAGAAGCTGCGCAACATGGTACGCCAGGGAATTCCACACACTCTGCGGGCCCAGATGTGGATGCGACTCTCGGGGGCATTGGCCAAGAAGCAGAAGAGCGAAACGAGCTACCAGGACATTGTCAAGGGTAAAACTAACCGCCGCAGATACATACATTTGAGATACATATTTCATTCGTTTACCCTATAGCTTCCAGCAACGACCAACTGATGACATCCAAGCAGATCGAAAAGGATCTGCTGCGCATCCTGCCCACAAACGCGTGCTTCAGCAATCCCAACGGCACGGGCATTCCCCGCCTGCGTCGCATTCTGCGTGGCATTGCGTGGCTCTTCCCGGACATTGGCTACTGCCAGGGCACGGGTGTCATTGTGGCCTGCCTGCTGCTCTTCATGGAGGAGGAGAATGCCTTCTGGATGATGGCCACCATTGTGGAGGATCTGTTGCCCGCCTCATACTACAGCTCCACGCTGCTCGGCATCCAGGCGGACCAGCGCGTCATGCAAACGCTGATTGCCAATTACCTGACCAACGTGGATGAGTCGCTCAAGAAGCACGACATTGAGCTGTCGCTGATTACGCTCCACTGGTTCCTCACGGTCTTCGCCAATGTGGTGCACATGAAGATTCTCGTGCGGATATGGGACTGGTTCTTCTACGAGGGATCCATTGTGCTGTTCCAGCTAACCCTGGGCATGCTTAAGGTCAAAGAGCAGGAGCTAAAGCACCTGGAGAACTCTGCCCAGATCTTCAATTCCCTGTCTGACATTCCCGGCGAGGTCACCGATGTGGAGGTGCTCTTCAGCCAGGCCCTAGAGGTTGGCGGCTCCCTCAGTCAGACGGTGATTGACACGCATAGACGTCGCCACTTGGCCTACCTCATGGCCGACCAGGGTCATCAGATTGGCAATCCGGAGGCCACATCGAATCTGCCCAAGCAGCAGCTAGCCAGGAGGCAGGTGCGCAAAAGCAAATCCATACTGGAGGCATTCCTCTTTCGCGGCGACGGCTCCGAGGCGGACCAGCTGAAGAACAAGAACATCCGCCAAACGGAGATACTGGTGGATCTGCGCGAGGCCATACTCAAGGTGGGGCGGCACTTCATCACGATTGAGCCCAAGCTGGCGGGGCACATCCAGCTGACGGCAAACTACAGCAGCGAATCGCATGCAAAGGACCACGAGAATTTCATCAATGTGGCGCGCACGCGCAAGCGCCGTGCCAAGGCGCTGCACGACTTTGAGCGGCATGACGACGATGAGCTGGGCTTCAGGCGCAACGATATCATCACCATCATCAGCCAGAAGGACGAGCACTGCTGGGTGGGAGAGTTGAACGGACTGCGGGGCTGGTTTCCCGCCAAATTCGTGGAGCTGCTGGACGAGCGCAGCAAGCTGTATACCTCCGCAGGTGATGATGCCATCTCCGAGACGGTGACGGATCTGGTGCGTGGCACCTTGGCGCCTGCCATCAAGGCCTTTCTGGAACATGGCATGAAGCGGCCCTCATTCCTCGGCGGACCCATCCACCCGTGGCTATACATCGAGGAGGCGGCCACGCGCGAAGTGGAAAAGGACTTTGAATCCGTCTACAGTCGCCTGGTGCTGTGCAAAACGTATCGTCTGGATGAGGATGGCAAAGTGCTGACGCCCGAGGAGCTGCTCTACCGCTGCGTGCAGGCCATCAATCAAACGCACGACGATGCACACGCCCAGATGGATGTCAAGCTGCGCTCTCTCATCTGCCTGGGCCTCAATGAGCAGGTGCTCCACCTCTGGCTGGAGGTGCTCTGCGCCTGCCAGGAGGTGGTGCAGAAGTGGTACCACACCTGGAGCTTTATCGATTCCCCTGGCTGGGTGCAGATCAAATGCGAGCTAAGGATACTCTCGCAGTTTGCCTTCAATCTGAACCCGGACTGGGAGCTGCCGCCGAAGCGTGGCAAGGAATCGCAGCCGCTGAAGGATGGTGTGCGCGACATGCTCGTGAAGCATCACCTCTTCTCGTGGGATCTATGAGGCTAAACCCGAAACCGAATTCTACAAACCAATCTGAACAAAAATAATATCTCAATCGCCGCGTATTCTATATGATTTTTTCCACATGTGCAATCGCAATCTAAAGTCGCTAGTTTTCGGCTTTTTATATGTACTTAAGTGCTTTACCCTACCACATATGACCTATCGTATATATATATATGTATCCTGTATAGCTCCTAATTATATCTCTACTATAATTGTAACTACTTATGTATATGCACTATGTATAGCGCGAGAGAGCTGTTTGTTTATCCATCCAATTCATATATTTGAAGCTCCATTCCAAGCAGCACACAGACAACAAACTAAAAATTACAAATGTAAACGTACCTCTTTCAATCGAAATCAAATCTTATAAAGTACATATTTATTACGATATATATACATAGATATTTAGCTGTCTAAATGCATTTCATTAAAGTTTAATATATGTATAATTAAATTGTTTAATTGGAGGTTGCTGTCTAGTTGCAAACGAGACCCAAATAGTCATCCATCAGGGTGCCAATTGCAAACTAGGGGGAAAGGAACATTAAATATTTCAAAGAAATGATGCCAAACGTTAAGACTTACTATGCCCGTGGCATCCACACGTGTGCCCACAATCTTGAGACGAATTTTGTCCTCTCCAGAGATGACCACATCCTCGTCTTTGCTCTTGTAGCATGGGGGGTTGCCATTCGGACAGAATTGCATGTCAGCGGGAATGGACTGAAAAAGTAACCCATTAAATATAGCCCCATTCCATAGTTGGTATATCTCCACTCACATGATGCGATATAAAACAAGACAGGGGCCCAATTTCTGCAAACATGCCGACTTTGTTGATCTGCTTTACCACTGCATCCAGCACTTCCCCCTTAAAAGGACGAAACACAATTGCTTTGTACTTGACCGGATACACCACAAAACCCTGTCCGGGCTGTATGACACCGGATCCGATCTGATCTATGGTTGTGACGGCAATCACAAAACCGTATTTGCCCGTGCAGGTTCCCTCCACTTCAGAGTACAATTTCTGCTTCACCGTCTCCAGCAGCTGCGGTCCAAAGTAGCGTGGATGCAGCAGAATTTCATGCTCCAGCGATATCTGAGGGGTAAAACAGTTGGTCAGCTACTGATTAAGCCCAAAATCAGAACAACTTACATGATAAAACATCTTTTTAATACAAAAAAATAGCAAAAAATACACAACGACGCGAAACAACAATGAAATTCAATAACTTTACAACACTGCTGGAAGGCGGCTTCGATACATATCGATCATATCGTAGCTCGATACTATCATGATATTCGCAAAACCATCGATAGTAGAGGCTAGCAGTAAAATATCGATACTATCGAAATCCCGCACGGTGAGTTATGTGGTGAGGTGGGTATTTTTCTTGAAAGCTCTGAATTTTGTGACGTCATACGTCACACCTCATACCTTATGCTTGCGGCGCAATCAAAAGTTCAACTACCCGGTCTCATTTATTCGTCAAAAAGTGAGCTTTTCATAGTGGAGCGAAATAGAGCTGGGAAAAAAATCGATTTTCGCAGAATCGATTTTTTTCGATCTTTTAGACAAAAACATCGATTAATCGATTAAATCGAATATAAAGAAATTTTTTTGTAGATCCATTTTTTTCTTTTATTGCTCCAGAACCCACTGGTTCCTGCCTGCAAATAACAATTTGTTTACGTTGCTAACCTTTAAGGAGGCTCGTCTATATGATATGAGTATTCCAGCTCAGCTGAACATCCTCTCAGACTCCGTTGAACATGCTGGAATACAAAAATATTTTATAAATATGCTTTTAAAGTTACATTTTATTCTTACCCTGTTGCTTCTTGTGGTAAATTGGAGATGGAATTTTTTTTGAAGTGGACGCAAACAAACATCGATTTCCAAAACATCGGCTATATCGATGTTTGAATCGATTTTTTCCCAGCTCTAGTCCATAATAACATGCGGTCCGCCACGGAAACATTACAAGAAATGCGGGAAAAGTATTTCCCAGAGCCTGTGAAGCCAAGTAGTACAACGAAAAAAAAGGAAACACTACTGACGGAGTACACAGAGTATCGTGATCGCCTTCTCGACCTGCTGACAACTGCTGGCGTGCCATACTCCAGAGAGGAAGGTTCGTATGGATAATCCAAACGAGATTCAATCATTATTGTGTATATATATCCTTCCAGACGATGACACCTACGAGGACTACTTGCTGTCGGACACCGAAGAAGCGCCAAAGAAAAAGAGCAAAAAACAAAAGGAAAATGGTGATGCGGATCTGGATCTGGAGGAGCGACTGGCATCCATGAAGAACAAACTGCGCCAGAAGAAGGGGCCCACCACAGAGCGACAGCAGAAGCGGCGCGAGGCCAAGAAGATGAAGCGCAGCAAGGGCGTCCAGAAGCTGATGCTCTCCTCGGCCAAGAACCTGAAGAACGAAAACGTCAAGCAGAAAAAGTTGACCAATGGAGTGGTCAAGCACGAGGAGGAGGATGGCGATTCAAAGGACTCTAAGGCACTCATTAAAGCCGTGAAACAGCTGCCGGTGTACAATCAAGAGGGCAAAATTGTCTACTCCAAGGTGGACTTTGCCGCCACACCCGGCGGCAAGCAGAAGAAATCGCATCAGAATCCCAGGGAAATCCTCAAGAAGCTGAAGGACACCAAGAAACAGATCAACGAGCTGAAGGAGCAGGGCGAGACGGAGAAGGCGGCTGAGATGCAGACGGATATTGCGTGGAAGAAGGCGTTCGACAAGGTGGCCGGCAAGAAGGTGAAGGATGATCCCAAGCTCCTGCTGAAGTCCATCAAGAAGCGCAAGGTGGAGAAGAAGAAGGCCAAGACAAAGTGGTCGGAGCGCAAGCAGAAGGTGGACTACGACAAGGACAAGCGACAGAAGAAGCGGCAGGATAATCTGGAGAAGCGCAGCACGGACAAGAAGAAAACGAAGCTAAAGAAGGCCAGCAAGAGGGGTCGCATCATACCCGGTTACTAATAGATATAGACCACCACTGTACCACTTCTAGACTAAGTTTAAAGCGTCCATTGAAAATCTACTCAAATGGAAATATAAATGTCTTACGAAACTGACAAATTTCAGTTTTTTAATTGTTTTCCAAATTCACATACGTCTTGGCCTCACAACAGTCCAAATTTATTGTTTTTCTTTTCATTTCAGATATTGTTGTACTTGGCCCACGGTGCGTTGTGACGAGAAAGAGGAAGAGAACTATCGATTGCACCAAAACATACAGTTCAGTGGGAAATTTATCTTGTTACAGCAATATTTGTGTTTAATCCAAACTCTAGTTAGAGGTCTTAAACAAAAACAAGTGCAATAATCAAAGTTGCCTTGGCGCCATAAAGTAACAGCAGTGAGCCGCCACCCCAACGCCAGACAAACGGCAGCCACCGAAAGGTGGAGAAGCAATCAAAAGGCAGAAAGTAATCGACACACACGCACACAGCGAAACACATTACGTGCCGAGCGCAATCTCTTTCCTTCCCCCCATTTTCCACCAAAAAAATAGCAGAGGCAGGCGAAAAAATCAACACAATTGCGTCGTAAACCGAGCAGACTGCAAAGCGCTTTTAAGTTTGTGCAAAATAACCAACAGCTCCGGCTGAATGTCTAGAAACAACGTCTAAAGGAACCGTCTGGAACCAAGAACTCCACCGATCAGCACAGGCAAGAAGAAGCAGCAGCAGCAACAGCGCTCAGCTGAGACTTCCGCAGGCAGTGGATAAGCAGGGGAGAGAGAAGAGTGAAACGGGCAGCAGCCATTATGAGCATGGTGCGGCGGATAATCTTGTTGGGCCCTAAATACAGCGTCTGGGCAAAGGGTAAGTCTTCTTCCCACTGTGGCTACTGTTGCTGCGAAAATCATCGCATACGTAACTGCGTCATTTCCTGCTGGTGCAGCTGCTTTCGTATCAGTGCTCTCCTCTGCAATTCGGATGGCGTTTTACCTATTTGGCTTATCAGAATTTACTAGCCAGGCCCCCCGCATACGGCGCCACGCGCTGCGCCTCTGGGCCACTCTACGTGAAGGTCGTCTTCTTTTGATACCAAAAAAGCTGCTCTCGCGGTCAACATCCCACACAGGGGCGTCGTTCCAAAGGGGATCGGATCCAACAGGCTATCGATAGTCGTTCGATCGTTTTGATTTTACATAAATCAAACATGCACGTATTTCCATTGAAGATTGCTTCGGTTTTTCCCAATAAGACCACTTTTATACGCTGTTGTAATACCCTTGTAAAGGGGTATGATTCACTGTAACTACCGATGTCAATCATATAACGGCCTTAGAAACCATCGATCTGCAAAAGAGTATCAAATGCTGCGACTACTGGAGTTCCTTTCTTGTTTTTTGTTGGTCTTTGGACTGAACTTGAGTTGTCTTAAAAAGCAGCTTTACTCGTAATATTACATGTGGATTGCCTATGCTTTGCTCGGCATCTGACGCAATGGTGGTCGTCGGCATAATTGTTTTGATATATTTAATAGCCAGGCAGGCCAGGCAGTTGGTTATTATATTTGTGGGCTTACGGGTTAGCTAGGGAAAGCGATCTTATGCGGAAGTTAATGGCGGGAAGTCTACGCTGGGAGAAAGTGCTCCATTTTCCACTCTTTGGGGTTGAATTTTCACTATTTTAGGATCACTAAAACCTGTAAAAAAAGATCCAATGATGATCTTTGAAGCGACAATAATCTGATAGTGCGAAAAAGATAGTTTCGTCAGTCATCTGTGATATCGGAAGAAGCTAATTGGCCTTGGCCTTTATTTGTTTCGTATTCCGCGGTTGAAATCTCCATCTCACTGCGTTGTTATCTCTCGTTTATATGGATTCCCATGCTATTAACCTTTGGAAAGTATAGGGTCAATGATTCCAGTCTTTTAATAAATATCTTTTGTCAGCATCCCACTGATTCCTCCTTTGTGTTGCTCTTTCTAGGTGCCGGAGTCCCTAACACACAGCACACAGCAAAATGTGTGATATTGAACAGAAGGAATGCAGCAGCAGAAGAAGGTGGAGGAGGACCAGAAGTGTGTGGCGTGCGACGCTTCCACTTGGCGACACGCCACTGCGCTGCCAGCAGGCAGATTGTGCTGGAGCCCGTCATGAATATACCCGCGTACATTGACATCACCAATGGAACGACGCAGACGCCAGAGGACACAAGCGACAGTGGGAGCGGCGGCAGTGGCAGCAGCAGCGCCAGCAGTGGCGGCACCTCAAAGCTCCCTGGAGGCGGCTCGAGTGCTGGTGGCGCGAGCACAACTAGCGGCGGAGATCCACCCGGCGGTGGCGACAAATTTCTGTCGTGCCCGAAATGCGGCAGCGCCTGCACGCAGGTGGAGACGTTCGTCAGCTCGACGCGATTCGTCAAGTGCGCCAAGTGCAACTACTTCTTTGTGGTGCTCTCCGAGGTGGAGACCAAGCAGCGGGTCAAGGATGAGCCGAAGAACCAGCGCAAGCCGCCGCCGCCGCCCCAGAAGATCATGGAGTACCTCGACAAGCATGTGGTGGGCCAGGACTTTGCCAAGAAAGTGCTCGCCGTGGCGGTCTACAATCACTACAAGCGCATCCACCACAATCTGCCACAGCTGCAGCAGCAGCAGGGCGGCGGCCATGGCGGACAGGGGGGCAGCGGCCTGGACGGCATTCCCCGTCCCGATCTCCTGCACATCACGGGCATTGGTCACACCCTGAACAGCACGCCGGGCAACGAGCTGCCCCCCAAGCCCGCACAGATGGGCATGGGCGGAGGTATGGGCGGCGGCGGCGGTCTGGGCAGTAGCTTGGGCAACCATCCGGGACGCGGCGGCGGCGACAATCGCGCTGGCTCCGAGATACTCGACAACAAGTCCACCGACGTGAAGCTGGAGAAGAGCAACATCATCATGCTGGGTCCCACGGGATCGGGCAAGACGCTGATTGCCCAAACGATTGCCCGCTGCCTGGACGTCCCCTTTGCCATCTGCGACTGCACGACCCTCACCCAGGCGGGCTACGTCGGCGAGGACATTGAGAGCGTCATCTCCAAGCTGCTGCAGGATGCCAACTACAATGTGGATCGTGCCCAGACAGGCATTGTGTTCCTCGACGAGGTGGACAAGATTGGCGCCGTCCCTGGTATCCATCAGCTGCGCGATGTTGGCGGTGAGGGTGTCCAGCAGGGCATGCTCAAGATGCTCGAAGGCACAGTAGTCAATGTGCCTGAGCGGAACTCCCCGCGGAAGCTGCGCGGCGAAACGGTGCAAGTGGACACCACGAATATCCTTTTTGTGGCCTCGGGCGCCTACACTGGATTAGACAGGCTCATTGGTAGACGCCTCAACGAGAAGGTGGGTGATCTCTGTTCTAGATTATTTATTCCATAATTAATTGTTATTTTCCTTTTTCCTTTTCCCTTTAGTATTTGGGCTTTGGCATGCCTTCTTCGTCCAGCGGCTCTGGCAATCGTCGTGCCGTGCAATCGGTGGCTGCACCCATGGACAATGATCAGGAGGAGCGTGATAAATGCCTCACCAAAGTGCAGGCCCGTGATCTCGTTGAATTCGGCATGATCCCCGTATGTATATCGTGCTATTCCATTTATTTCTCCTATTAATCCCTTGGGTGTTTTTAGGAATTCGTTGGACGCTTTCCGGTTATTGTGCCCTTCCACAGTTTGAATGTCAGCATGCTGGTGCGCATTCTCACCGAGCCAAGGAATGCCCTGGTGCCTCAATACAAGGCGCTGCTGGGTCTGGATGAAGTCGATTTATCATTCGATGAGGATGCAGTAGAATCAATAGCCAAGCTAGCAATGGAAAGGCATACAGGTGCCCGAGGATTGCGCTCCATAATGGTAAAAAAAAAACATACACACATAATGTTGGTTTATTTATTTCTAAATGATGTTTTTTTTGTAGGAACAACTCCTGCTGGATCCCATGTTCATAGTGCCAGGCTCTGATATACGTGGCGTGCATATCACCGGCGAATATGTGAGAGGACAGAGCACACCCGTCTACAGTCGGGACACGGATGCAACGGCGAGCAGCAGTGGTGGTGGGTCCTCCTCAGACTCTGAGAACACCAACGATAATGATAAGAACTTTGAGGATAGTGAAAAAGTACGCGTAAAACAGTAGAAACCTCACCACAACAGAACAGAAAACAGAAACAGAGCTAGAGCGACAAAACGAATAATACTTTGAGTTTTCTATATATAATCTGCCTGAATCCTATGTCTATTTGCTGCTTCTTCTACAGTCAAAACTATTTGCTTGCTTCGAACACAGAACCCAATGCTTAAACCCCTCTTTATATATATTAATGTGTATATTTTTTTAGTCGTTTGTGAATGATACATTGGCTGGCACGTCGTAGCTCTATCCCCCTCTATCTCTCTTCCTGTACAAAATATTCCCCGAAAAACGGGGCGGCATCTGTGATTCATGAAACGACAAGAAGCAATTGTGAGCAGAATAATATATTTAAAAAAAAACACCTTAAAAGCAGGAATAACGAATAAAAGAAACCCTTTAAAACCCTTTTTAAATAAAATAATAAATAATTGTAATTTGTACCTCTCTGTAATCTGAATTGTGGTCGGTCCTGTTTGGCGCTGAGATCCTCTCTCTATGATTATCTGATTATACCAATTATATAATATATACACAATGTATTTAGGCAAATTTTTGCATAGTCTAAAAGCGAGTTTCAACATGAGTTCTGTTCGCGTTTTCAAATGATGACAAAACGAGAAGTAAATTCTATTTTTAACTATATTTAAGTTAAACTTTGAAAACAACAAAAACAATAAAAAAAAAACAAAAACAGAAATTTAATAATAAAAAAAAAATGAAAAAGTTCAAAGAGAAACTTGTTTTAATTTGTGGAGTGCAAGAAAAGTAAAAGTGGGCGTCAAGTGAAGATCAATGAAAGATTATGAAGTAAACGAAATCCAACGAAGAGCATCAGAGTGTAAGCTATTGCTCTTCTTGAGCCTTTATATATTTTTTATACTAAAGTGCCATTAATTTCCATACAATCTGTGGTATAATTTTCAATTAATTTATTTTATTCGTCATTCAAATTCAACTAAAATCTGTAGAAACTCATAATAAATAATTCGAATTTATTGCACATATGGGACTAAAATTATTTCCTTTCTTTCTTTCGTTCTTTTTGTTTTTGTTTCTTTGTTTTTCATTTTCAGTTTTTCATTTACGTAGTGTATAAATTTGTATAAAAATTTGTATGTTAATAAATATGTGTGTGTATCTTTAAGCCATCGCATCCCTCAATCCTAATCGTTCTCCTCGGATATGAGGAGTTCGTATTCCTGTGCCGCAAACCGATCCCAATCGGAGGTCTATAAAAGATACAAGATACAAGAGGATATATAAAATGTGTCGACCGTGTGGCACTGCTGCATGACAGACACTTACATATTCATCCCGCTGCGAGGCAAATGGATCTCTTTGTTCGTGATCCAAATACTTCTCCAGATTGAAGAAGGTATCGAAGAAGACGTGCGTCATTTTGCAGCGTTTCAGATCGCCCAACGTAATGCAGTCCCGATTCGCAGGCTTAATCATATCCAGCATCTAAAGAACAATACAGAATTAAAGAAGTCTCCACAGATAGAAAAGGATCGAAATAGGAGTCCCCCCACCTGACACAGACAATCCTCAAATGGCAGACACTCGATGCCAATGCCCTCCATGCGCTGCTGTTGCTCCTCGTAGAAATACTCCAGCTCGTACATGGATAGGGCGCCATCGCCATCGATGTCCATGCAGCGGAACCAATACTCAATGGCCGTCGGTGTGCGTTTGTCCTCCTCGGAGAGTATGAACCAAACAAAGTCTGTGTAGGACATTTTGGCCTCGTCCTCGGGTGCCTTTTTGCTGTCCGTGCGCGTTACACAGCCGGAGAAGATGCGCTCCACAATCCGCGAGGACAATGCATGATCGCTGTGCTTGGCCAGATCCTCTTGATTGATGAGCAGATCGTGATCCTTGTCCAGTTCCCAGAACTTGCAGTAGATCACATAAAAGTGCTCATAGCTAAAGAAGGCCATGATCTGATTGATGTCCTCCTCCTCCTCTAAAAGGCTAATCATCTACGGAAAAAGGCGGATCGTTAGGTAAGGAATCCTTTTGCCATCTTAGGGGATACGTACCTCTAAAAGATCAGATCTCTTGAGTTCTGCAATTGTGATCCTGCCGCTCCAACTGCGATTCACCGAATAGAAAATGCGCGCGATGACCGTGTGCACGTATCTGGAATGAAACTCGGTGGCCTCCTTGAGGAAGGCCAAACCGGGATGTGTGTCGACCACATCCTGCACCATCGGCACCAAATCCTCTGGCACAATGTAAGAGCGAAATCGCTGGCCACGCGACAGGATGTAAACGAAGCGAGACGCAGCCTCATGGCAATATATATTCATTCTACCAGAGAAAAGTATCACCATTAGATCTTGGATTGAAAGCAGGGTAAGGAGGATCCACTTACTGTTTCCAGAACTCGACAAATCTCTGACGCTCGACGAGACCCGAATTGGATGTCTGGCAAAAGACCATCACGGGCATGCGCCAGTAATAGGGCATTCCGCAGAGCTTCAGGATCCTTGGCAGATCGTCTTTGGTCACCTGATTGTTGGGAAAGCTATCGAAGCCGGAGAGTATGCCTCGAACCACACGCTCCATGGCAATCGTTGGCTGTGGCTTGCCATGTGGAAAGTAGAATCTATAAAGAGAAAGAGAGGATCTCATTAGAGCATGTGTATTTAAGGATTTTACGAGGACTTCGTACCTTGGTATATAAACACTCTTTGTGGAGCGTATTTCCTTTTGCAGCAGATTCGTGTCCTGTGGCGGCGGCGGTGTGGCATGCAGCTTGACCTATGTGTTTCGTATGAATAATAGATTATAACCACATTAATCTTTCCATCTAAAAACTCTCGAATTGTTTACCCATTTGGCCTGCCCCGCCACTCAATAAAATTACGAATTTATTTATTTTCGTTTGGTTTCGTTTCTTTTTGTTTAGATTTCGCGGAATTTTCGCAGACAGGCGCCCAGCCACGCCCCATATTTCGGGGTTTTTGGCGCCCTTTACCTTTTAATTTATTATGAAATGTTTGCCATTCAACTGAACATAAACGAAATTGCTGTCTAATATGAGCATTGAGTGGGGGGGAATAACAGAAGCAGCAAGAAGGAAGCAAAAATTATGAAAATGTCTTCCTCCATTGCCATCTATAACTCTGCCTGGCCAATCCTCAATTAGAGTCTATAACACCCTCCCTTTCTTAGGGTAAAACTACTACACGTCTTTGAAGGCAAGTACGCGTGAATTGAAAACAGTTTTCCCCTTGTATGTATTCCCCTTCCCATCGATCCATTGGTGGGGTTTTTATGTGGCGATCTGCTAATTAGCTACGGAATTTTGGGGCGGAAAGGTAGGCACATCTTGTGCCATAAATTCTTAATTGGCAGCTACGAAAAAAACAGCACAGAATGTGGGTGGCATGTTGGCATTATTGGATGGGTCATAAATAAATTAAATATGTTATAAATAGTTCCAGATTTGAGATAATCAATTTATGAAAAATTTTTTTTTAAATAAATGCATTTCTTCGAATTATTGAGTCATCAGTAGAAGCTATAGCCTTAGAAATACATTTTTAATTTTTTATCATTTCTGCTTGCGCACTAAGAAAGTAAATTCGAAGATCCGAAAGGGATCGAATATTTGACTGGCAACTCGATTTCTTTATTGATCTTCAAAGGCATTAAAAAACTGGAAATGTTTTTTCTTCAAAGATCTCTAAGGCTATTAAACTACAATTAAAATACTGAAAACATGTTTTCTTCATTGAGATTCAAGGCCCTTAAGCGCACATCTTGTCTGTATAATTTCTCTCTGTTTTTCCTAACCTTAACCCCCATCTAGAAGTAAATCCCACACTGTCTTTCTTTGTCTTAAGGGAACTTCCATCATTTATGGCCCCCTGCTCAATGGCCATTCATGATTTTAAAACTGTCAACGAAGACATAAATATTAATCTTTGCGCCCAACCGTCCATACACAAGAAAAAAGCAAACAATCCAACGAAATACTCTCGAGGCATGTGCGCGCAGAAGAGTCTATTACGTATACGCCCGGCTACACAATCGTTTGTACACGTAGTCAAATATTACGCATACGCATTGTTGCCTAATTTATATGAATAGAGAAATCTCTTACAGAGAAAAGAAATCTCTCAGCAAGACAGAGAGAGAGAGAGGGAGAGAGAAAAAAGCAAAACCAAAAACTAAATTCGGATTTTGTCTGCCTAAAAGTTAATTGCAAGAACTAGTGGGGGGAGGTGGGATTATATATTTAGACAATTTATTTGCTTTGATCCAACAAATTCAACGATCCACCGAATCGAACGTTCGATGAAGTGAGGAATTTCACAGCAGCCAACAATCGTCGTTAGGCAAAAAAAATAAAAGTTCAAGTGTTTCATGGAATCGCTGTCGATCGCTGTTTGTTTTCTGGTTTTGTTTTGTTTTTTTTTGTAGGAATATTGTACACCCTTGTAATTAAATAATTAAACAATTCTACAATTCTAAAAAAAAACAGCAACCAGCAGCAGCAAAAACACAATTGCATTTCATACGAGTATTGCTCACAAAAAACAAAACCAAAATTGATAATGATCACCTGCAGGGATTACTATTCGGAAATTCGACTTTGTTGTGAGTTGTGTGTTTTTGGTTTTGGTTTATTTTTCCCTCTGCTTTTTTTTTTGCTCGTGTGCACGATCGAGAGGCTATGGTTGATCGTAAATGCTTGATTTAATTGTTTGTATACGTAAATATATGCATACTGGTACTCGTACGAGCAATCGCATCCCCACACTATTCGTTCGCTAGGGGCACTCGATTGGCGCTACTCGGATGCGAGCCCATCCCCAAAATTGGATCCGAAATGACAGAGGTTTTGCTAAGAGTTATAGGAATACGTACGAGAGTTATTCTTCGGTAAAGTGGCACCAGAATCGATCCCCAAAATGTAATAAGAAAATACACGCCGGGTGGGCTCTTTTTGCTTAACTTGCTCCCAAAACTACCGCTGGATTGGGGGAATAGTTGTATGGTATAAGAGTCCCTTTATGGTTAATTAACCATTGATTGATTGCTAATCTATGAATGAGATCGGTATGCAGTAATCCCTGTAATCCCCACTATAGTATTCTGAAAAGAAGGAGCTACTGGAGCTATAAAATATCAATAAAGATCTCCCATCAAAGTCAGGCCTAAGATAACACCTTTGCCATGTGCATCCCCCAACATTTCTTCTTCTCTTTCTTGCTCTTTCTCTGAATTTAGTCACTGATTTGGCACATGCTTTCATCTCTCATGTGGCGGCGGCGGCGTCTCAGGGGGTAACCTTAAATCAATCAATGTTGCCGCTGCCGCTGCTGCTTCTGCCACTGCCACTCGCATCGATAACAAATGCAATTATCTGTGAGGAGATCGGAGAGGTGTCTGGGGGGGCCTGGGGCAGGCAGGCACTCAATTTGTTGCTATAGTTTTCGCTTTTTCACATTTTCCTCTGGCATTTTCAACTGTTAGATAACAATCGCGAGGCATGGGCATCCAATTGGTGGCGGCGGGAGGGAAAAATCCACCAGCCCCAAACCTCATGAATATCATTCAATTAGGGCCCCAGGAAACCGATGGACTGCAAGGGATTGGGGGAGAAGGGAGAAGACTGCGAACTCACCTTGAGTAGACTCTTGGGCGCAACGTCAGTCTGGGGGCGCTTGATGTTGAGGAATGCATGCCTCACGTCCGGACACTTTTCGAACATCAGAACACGCTCCGCCACCGATCCGCGTGTGAGGAGACCCGCTAGAAGAGATGACGTATCATCATCATTTCTGGGATTTCTGGTACGGTAACGGGGACTACAGGTACTACGTGGACTACTACGGGTATGGGGTGCTCTGGTTGGGTTCTGGGTTCTACTATTTTCAATCGTACCATTCTTATTCTTTGTGGGATCCTGGCCATTGGTTAGGACTGCCCGTGCCCCGCTAGTGGGTTTCACTTTATTCAACGTTGGCATCGTTGTGCTGACGGATGCTGCATCCATCGATGTTGCTGCTGTTGCTGCTGCTGCTGCTGCTGGTGCGGATGTTGCCACAGAAGATGCGTTGGCCACAATGTTGCTTGAACTGTTGCTGTTATCAGTGGCACTACTGCCAGTGCCACTGCCACTGCTGCTGCCTCTTGTGGATTTTCGTGTGGCAGTAGCTACTACCGATGTTGTGGATTTTTCTTTGGTTGCCGGCTGCTGCTTCCCTTCAGCGCTGTTCTCTTTGGTTTTGCTTGACTTGCGATTTGTGGCCACCACCGTCGCCTCGGCGCTCTTATCACTCACTGCCTCTGCCACTCTATGGGGCTGCTGTGGGGCATCTATAACATCGATGCCAACTGCTGTAGCTGTTGCTGTTACGCCACTCCCGCTCTTGGCTTTGGTCTGCTTTTTGGTGGGGGACGGCTGCGTCTCTGAGGCTGCTGCTGTTACCTTTACAGAATTGGCAGTCTTCCCGCTGCCGCTGCTGCTGCTCCCACTCTGCCGCTTCTTCAGAGGATTGACCGCCGTTGCCTCCTTCTGCTGCTGGATTATTTCACTGATCTTCAGGAGATGCTGCGTCTGCTCCTGCGACAGATTATTCATATCCAAATGTAGGTTGATGTCGTAGTTGAGATTCACATCGGGCAGGGGTTTGCTGACGGCAGCCACTTTCTTGGGGGATTGCAGGGCCTGTTCGAAGGTGGAGGCGCCGCCAGAAGCTGCGGCAGCTGCGGTCGCTGACTTCTTCACCTTGCCATTGGTGGTGGGTCCCTCGGATTTCTTCGCAGTCTTTCCCCTTTGCTCTTTGTCCTTGTTCACGAAGCTGGTGACCATCTTTTGGAGTCCCTCCGCGTCCGCTGTGGGTGCGCTTGCCACCTCGGCAAAGTCCCCCGAGGCGGCGGCATTTGTGTAGATCTCAAGGAGCTCCACCGGAGGCAACCCGCGACTCTTCCACGTGTGGTATATGGCATCCGCATGCTCGTTGATTTTCTTTGAAAGCTCCGCAATCTCAGCGTGGGGATCGCTTCCACTGGATGTGGCAGCCACTGATCCCGTTGTAGATGCCTTTGGCGACTTGGGGCTGGCTCCAGCCGGCTTCCGGGTAGTGGTTGTCGTCTTTGTGGCACTCGTCACCGCCACGGAGCTGATCATGTTGCTGCCACCCGCACCCGCGCCCGTGCTGCTGCTCAGCTTTTTCGTTTTTGTGGTTGTTGTTGTGGTGGTGCTCGAGGCCTGCATTCTGTTGCTGTAGTTTTGTTTTTATTTTTCGATACTTCTCTTGTTCTTTGTGCTTTTCTTTCGCCGAAAAAAATCACATTTTCCGATCACATGTTTTCTTTAATAAATTTACGAAAATTTAAATTCAATTTCCAGCTTTGTATTCAAGGGATTTCTCTGGGTGGAGAAGATTCACATGCGTTTCATTCACTTTTCACTTTTCACATTTCACATCGTCTACACTTCAGAGTTTTTCCACCGTAGGCTGCGTATGGTATGGCGAAATCTATTTATAAATGGAATATACCAAAATTTCCTATTTCGTTTATTTCAGACGCCGAAAACCGAAAGAGAAACAGAAACACACACACACACAAACAAGAATTGAGCACATGGTTAGGGATCGAGAGGAGAAGACGCACCACACGAAAATATACATGGATAACGGGACCAGGCACAGGCACATGCACAGGCATAGCATCGCCATCGCATCCCGTCAGAAGAATATCGAGAGGCAACGCGTACACGGCGGCGCACAGTGGTTGTGAGAGATTGGAAAGTGGATGAAAAGGACAGGGCATTGGCAGATCTTATCTTCATCTATCAACTGCCATAAACAATTATCATATCATTCAATTAATAAACGTTTTCACACCTTTTAAGACAAAACAACAAACAATTATCAAGTCAAGTTTAATCATTCGCTCAGCTCATTTCTATTGGATTCGGTGATATTCGTGGGAAAACAATCAATTAATCAATTGAACTAATTGAATCAATTTCACTGCAACTCAAATACAGCTCGTTCCACTGTGCATGCGTAAGAAATGTATAAATGCCGCCCGCCTTTGCCGTGGTTTTTACGTGTGTGGGGCGGGATGGGGATGGAAGATGGGATGAACAAACGGGATGGGGATGAGACCGGGATGCTGCGCTGCATACTACGACGGCGGCAGAGGCTAAGTCGGCGGCGGCGGCTACTCCTACTGCTTCCTCTTCAACTTTGTACTATTTATTCGAAAATAAATTTCGAACAAGTACCGCACGCACACTCATTCTCATTCCGCCTTCTAATGCACTTTACATATGACTGTCTGTTCCCCTCTCTCTATTAGTGTGTGTGCATGTTTTGGGTGTGTGTGAGTGTGTATTAACATACATATATTAGAATATTTGTCTGGTTTTTATTAATGATTTAATTGCATTTATGCCTCGAAGGCGCGCGTGCTGACGACAATGGCGACGGATTTCGTCATTAATTAATTAACCAAACCAAAGGTTAATAGAATTTTTGCGAGTTGACATTTCGTTTTCGTTTGGTTTTATCTGGGGAATATTTGCAATTATGATCGAATTAGAAAAACACACGCGGCGGAAAATGGATGTTTTACTTTTTGGAGAAACGCTGGCAGGGCTTCCGCTTTAAACGAGTGTCTAAATTTAACAGCAAAACAGAACAGATTTTGAACAAAAAATAATGTAAATTTTATCCGAGAGCGAACTGCACGGCTGCTTAGCGGTTCGCGTTTGTTACTGTAAATCCCTCAGCCGCTGAAAATAACATCAGCCATAGAGCAAGAGAGTGAGATAGAGAGAGCGTCTGTGTCCGAGGTGATCTCAGCTGTTCGCTGCCGCTGCACTATACTAATGACACTCTCTTCCGCAGCCACCAAGAACAAGCGCTCCCACACACGACCCCAACCAAGCCCCAACAACCATTCGATCGTCGGGAGCAGAGAGCCAGAGAGAGAGCAGAGGCCGAAAAGATCGTCCCATTACTTTAGCGTTCTCTCTCTCGCCCATTTACCCCCACACAGAACACTTGCCGTCGTTTACCCACTCACGCTCACACATATACACGTGCAAGCGCCAAGCCATTGTCGAACATAAAAAATACAAAAATCAAATCATAGGTGTTTGTTAATTATGCACTGTCCTACAGGGGACAGAGGGCATAACTGCATGGAGATGAAGTTTGGCAAAAGCAAAGAAAAAGGAATAGCAACCAGTCCCGTAAAGCACACTTGCTTGTAGAGCAGAAGTTCCATCACCTTATCTTGCCATTCGAACATCATTGACTTGAATTCGAATTCGAATAATTAACGGCTGAAGCACTGGAAGGGCATACAATAACGGCTCTTGGTGCACGTTTCTCCGCTTTTTTCGTGTCTGCCTCATTGAACAGGAAAACAGCAGCAGCAACAAATAATAGCAGCAGCCGCAGCAACAACAACAACAAATCGAAGCATTTATCTCGCTTATTTGCTAATGCTAAATTATCTCCATTTTCTGCTTCTTCTACTCGTTCCATCTTCTTCTTCTTCTTCCGCTGCTGCTGCCCCCGCAAATGTTTGCTGCAATTGTTTTTGCTTTTGTTGTACCTGTACCCCTCGTTTTTTACCCCCGCTTTGTTTATGGTATTTGTTTGTTTTTTGCAGGTGGGCGAGCGAATACGAATTTTGTGTTTGTTTGTTTAAAGAAACCCGAATAAATGTTGAATAAATTGAAAAGCGATTCATGTTTTCGCATAGTTTCAAAAAGTTTTCCTTTCGGATACGCTACAATTTCAACAATTTGTTGATAGATTTTACACCTACATATACATACACTGGTTTACACAGTACAAACAGTAAACCGCAAAAGCACAGCTCTGACGCGATGATAATGATATAATAATAATGATGACGATGACGATGACTGCGAAGATAATGATGATCTGAGCTGAGCTTCCGGTTTTGCGCATTCTGTATTTATTTTGGGTTCCATTTGATCTCCGTCTAACTTTATACTAATTTTTGTATCCCCACGATGATGCCGTTTTTATGGTTTATAATATCTCTGGTTGGATGCTTTGCGGTATGTAATTGATTTAAACGAAAAGATCGTCCAACCTTAACATGTGTCGACTGTCACATAAATTGTCACATACAAATTGGCAGTTACAGTGACACCAATCGATTGATGGACAGCTCGAATAGTTATAATTTTAATGGAGTCTACCATCCCTCCAGAAAGCGTTCACTGTACTATTTAGACCTCACGTTGTCTTTGCCATAAAACCATATAAGGGTTCGGGGGTTTAAGAGAGTGAGAGAGTGAGAGAGAGATTAGCTAAAAAGTTGACCCAATTCAAGCAAAACAAAAGGCTTTTATGCTAAAATTTGGATCTACAAAAAGCAACCCCCGCACACAAAAGCGACAGACGCACACCTATTCGGAAAATTAGTGTCCGCGACCAGACGCCCAAACAATCGGACCCCCGAGCGTGACAATGGAAGTGTGAATAGATCAATCTCTATAGTATAGAGAGGGGGGGCACGAGCACGGGCACCACTTCTATAAGCAGCTTAAAGCCAGCGAGTCACAGAGCCAAAGCCCAAAGCGGGGGATCAGTCTCGAAAGAGTGTGTTTGATTTTGGGCATTTTTCTAATGGCTCGTGACTTTGAAGGCACATTCCGGTGGGACATTGGGTGTGGAATATTAATGACATGAATAATGGATGTTTGGACAAACGCTACTCATCTTTATATATAAGTTTTGGTGAGCTTTAAGAGTACATAACTAATTGAAATATTGCAAATAACGCTAAAGGTTAATTCTAGAATGCTGCTTATTGCTCTAAACCTGTTGCGCGTTACGCAGCAGCGCCTCTCAGTCTCACGCACTTTTCCTATTCTTTTCCTATTCACTATATATTTTCCCTAAATTGTTTTTCCCATCGATTTCTTAAGCATTGACATATTAAATCGCTGACTTTCTACGCCTCTTTTTTGTCGGCCACAATGTCAGAGACCCATAGATAGCCATAATCAAGAGCTGAAAGAAGCCACCGAAATGTCAAACTATTGACATTGGCCCATTGCAATGGGCAGTGGATTCTCTCGCGTTTTGTTATGCCTATTATGATTATAAGCCAAAAGCTGTCTGCACTTTTGTAGTATATATTTTTAGGTGTCTTGGCTAATTGAATTTGAACCCTACCCTACCAGGGGGTTCTTTCAAGAATCTCCAAGAAAAACTATAAAAGCCTCAGACGCCATAGCGGACGTTGCAGGTTTCCAATGACCAATCGCCGCGAATAGTCCGCTCCAGTGAAATTTTCAGAACTAAATTAGGGAATCCTTTAATGTAAAAAGTGTTTGAAAAATATCTAACGGAATTTGCAAGCTTTTTATGTAGAAAAAGTGTGATATATCGGCGGGATATAGTTACACACACACATAAAACAAGGAAAATCAAATAAAAATGGATAGGTAGGAAGACGCCGCACTGCACCCATAGATGATGGCATGATATCTATACCATATATTTTGTTCTGTTGGTCTGTTGCAGCTTTGCAGCAGTAGCCACACAATTGGGGCCGCATTTTGCAGCCCTCTCCAATGGATCGGTGGTGGATAAGGTCACACCCGATATGGCACATCTAATCAGCCCGTACTGGAACCAGTTCCCCGCCATGGACCCCATCTGGGCAAAGATCCTCACGGCCTACATGATTTTGATTGGAACGATTTCCTGGTGCGGAAATGGCGTGGTGATCTACATCTTTGCCACCACAAAATCACTGCGCACTCCTGCTAACCTCCTGGTCATCAATCTGGCCATCTCCGACTTTGGCATCATGATTACCAACACCCCCATGATGGGCATCAATCTGTACTTTGAGACTTGGGTCCTTGGGCCAATGATGTGCGACATATACGCGGGCCTGGGCTCCGCCTTTGGCTGCAGCTCCATCTGGTCCATGTGCATGATCTCCCTGGACCGTTACCAGGTCATTGTCAAGGGCATGGCCGGGCGGCCGATGACCATTCCATTGGCATTGGGCAAGATTGCCTACATCTGGTTCATGTCGAGCATTTGGTGCCTGGCCCCCGTCTTCGGCTGGAGCAGGTAAGCTGGATTCTTGCTTGTATTTTAAGGGATTAAAGTCTTCCATTTTCCATTTGTATGTATCAGGTATGTGCCGGAGGGTAATTTGACATCGTGCGGCATTGACTACTTGGAGCGCGACTGGAATCCACGCTCATACCTGATCTTCTACTCCATCTTTGTCTACTACATCCCGCTCTTCCTTATCTGCTATTCCTATTGGTTCATCATTGCTGTAAGCACATAATCGCACCCCTATATCATTTACTATATCCACTGTGATACCTGTTCGTTCCTCTAGGCCGTTTCTGCTCACGAGAAGGCCATGCGGGAGCAGGCCAAGAAGATGAATGTCAAGTCCCTGCGCTCCTCCGAGGATGCCGACAAGAGTGCCGAGGGCAAGCTCGCCAAAG